CTCATGAACTGTGGACCAATAGCTGTGGAGCCTCCATGGGACTGGACTAGGCCCTCTTCATGAGCGAGACAGTTGTGTACCTTGACCTGCTTAAGAGGAAGAGTTTTATGTCTTTAAGTATATATACATAAGAATAAAAGAAGTTAGTTTCTGCAAATAATTATTATAGTACCATGTGCTTGGCTATATTTTGATGCTGAGGATATTGGAGCATAATTACACATGAATCTCACTGTGAGATATATAGATAAAATTTCAAGAGAGCAGAGAATGACTACGATATTGGGTGATTGTAGAGAGGAAACTCTTAAGACACAAATAAAACAGCTGTGTGACCAAGGAGGGCTTTTCTGCCAACACTTGAAGAATGGAAAACTGACAATTTAAGAGCAAGGAAAAAAAAGTCTTCCATGTCTCCAAAACCTTGGGGCTTCTAGAAGACTGGTATGATTTAGATATGTAAAGAGAGCCCATTTTGTGTTTTGAGGGAATTGACAGTGACCACCAAGCAGGGTGTTGGGTCCTAGTCATAACTTTTTAGATTTTACTCGTGTGCACTGGGAAGCTATTAAATGGTTCCCACCAGTGAGTCATAGATTGGACTTAGGTTTTATGAAGATTAGACAGAGGTGAGCAGCAGTGGAACTGGGAAGAGAATTGGGGGTAAAAATGAATTAGTAGAGAAATCATGGGGCTCACATAGTGGCAGGGAGCCAGTTCCAAGTGGATTTGGGAAATAGAATTATCATTTTTTAAGTTAGATAAATAAGGTAAGGGAAATATCAGGTTTCTGGAAACGTGACTTGAAGAAAACAACATTGCCATTTCTGAGGCAAGGGAGAGGAGGATATGGAGAAACAGCTTTGGGAGAGAGAGCAAGAAAGGCTTCAGGATGTTGGCAAGTGGGTGGTTTTGATCCCCGCTCTGAGCACAGAACAGAGATCTGAGCTGGGGATAGGGACATAGAACACAGGAAATATTTACAGCCTAGGGAACCCTACTATGGAGAAAACTTGGAGAAGAAGGTCCAGAATAGAGTTCCCTGATTGGACTGAATGTAGGGCTAGCCTAGAAAAGCAGCTTGCAGCTCAGAAGAGGAGGGGCCCCAGGCAGGAAGAGAGCCAGAATGAATGGTGTGTCCCAAGCCCCAAACCAACAGTTGTGTTGACAAGGATGCCTACTTTCAGAGTCAGGGCTGCCAGGTCATCAGATGAGGAACAGGCATGTCCTGATGGTCTGTTATATTGGCTGTAAGAGCCACACCAGTGCCATGGTGGAATCACCAGCTGGAATGGGGTGGTAGTGGAGAAAAGAGGAGACAAGAGAGAGAGTGAGAGAGAAACAAGCTAGTAGCTGAAGGGGCGAGCTGGATCTGCCTTTTGTGTAGTACACTGGCTGTAGGTGTGTGTGCTTAAGAAGACATTACTGTCTCATAGAACAATCAGAAACAGGTGGCAGCTCTGATGTCCTCGTGTGTCTAAGGAAACTGTAATTAGTTATCATTTTCCAGCCAAGGTGGAAGCCTAGGACAACTGGCTTGTCTTTATAAAGATGGCCTAGGCATCGAATAACATTTTAAAAATGTTTTTATGAGTTCTTTGAGAACTCAACACAATATATCCAATCATCTTTACCCAAGCTCCTCCCAGATCTACTTGTCTCTTCCCTACCTACCAAGCATTGTCTCTTTTTAAAGAAGATTTAAATTACTGAATCCAACTTGTGCTACCCGTATACTTGGGCGCAGGACCATCCCCCAGAGCATGGACCACCTATCAGGGACCACACTCTCCAAGAACACCTAGTTTTCCTCTTCCAGCAGCTTTCAGTGGCCAAAAGCTCCTCATTTATGGGTGGGACTTCCTGCCCACCTCTTGACTCCATGTGGGGGTTTTGTCCATCCGTCTTGAGTTTGCACAGGTTCTGTGTGTGCTGTCATAATTGCTGTAAGCTCATGTGTACAGCTGCTCTAGTGTTCGCCACTTCTGGCTCTTAGGGTCTTTTTGCCTCCTCTTCCTCAATGGTTCCTGAGCCTTGGGAGGAGGAGGTGTGATGTAGATGCCCCAGTTAGGGCTGAGCATTCTGAACTCTCTCACTTTTTGCCCCTTGGCCAATCGTGGGTCTCTGTGTTAATCACCATCTACTGCAAAAAGAAACTTCATGGATGATGTCTTGTAGATGCAGTATCTACGGGTGTAAAGATAAGTTATTAGCCGTCTGTTTATTACTATGTCCACTTAACAGGATGGTAATATTAGGTTCTCCTTTACAGCCCATGACCTATCCAACCATAGATCCTGGACCCAGTAATGGTGCCTAGTATGTATTTTCAGTTGTCTTATTGTCCGGACTTGATCCTGTCCTCACATCTCTTCACATCCTCAAGCTAGGAAGAATGATAGTTGAACTAAAAGAAGACAGGAGGAAATGGGGTTTACCTTAGAATGGTGGTTCTCAACCTGTGGGTTGTGACTCCCAGAGGGGTCACATCAGATATTTATATTACAATTCATAATAGTAGGACAATTACAATTATAAGGTAGCAATGAAATAATTTTATGGTTTGGCATCACTACAACATGAGGAGCTGTATTAAAGGGTCACAGCATTAGGAAGGTTGAGATGCACTGCCTTAGATGTTGTAGTCCTTGGGGCTAGAAGGCAGGGTATGTGTGTGGGGGTGGTGGTCCTGTGTTGTAATTGCTGGTAAACCATATTAACTGGCTTGCCTTTGGTCCTCAGATGAATTCACTGCTAGAACTATCTTTCACTTTCCTGAAATTCATCACAGAATCTGAATTTCACAATGCTAACCCTCCCCCAACACACACACACACACACACACACACACACACACACACACACACACACACACGATTCCTTCATACTCATACCAGCTTCCAGAATAAGCAGGCCAAGGAAAGGCAGTGTTTGCTTTCAAGATGTGTTTAAAAAGCTAATGTGTAATAACAGTGTAGCGCACAGTCTTGTTCAGGGTTTGAAATTTACATTGCTTAGGGTGGCTCAGCACATGCCAAGTTGATATGTCTTTTATTCAACAGAAGAACTAGCCGGTGACTGAGAGCAGGAACCCTACATGAAGAGTATGGATAAAGCGCTGATTTGTGTTTGTAATGTTCCTTTATGGCAATAGTTTAATTACTAAATGATGGGTTTCCTGTAGAGTCACTGGTCATAGTTGCATAATCCCATATCATACCAGGGCATACGTCCTTCACTTAAGATATTACACTAGCCCTTTGCTCTGAATATTTTTTTTTAAACCAGATGATTAGAATTGTGAAAGGAAATTGTAAAAGACATATTATCTCTAGACTATTTACTGTTCCTATGCAAATTACTTAAATGTCAAATCTGCTTGGCATAACATCTCTCCTAGACACAGAAAGAATGGGCTTTATGACATAGGGCATTTCTGTGAGCAAGAGGAAGTCTATTATTTGGGTTTGAACATGTTTGGGCTTCTCATTTGGCACATGTGGAAACTGAGGCATGAAATGCTAGCCTGGCCTAGCACTGTGTTAGGTGGTGGTTTTGTGACCCTAGATGTTTTTAGGATATAGCAGCGTATTACTCATGAAGATTTTTTTTTTTTGAAGTTTTTGTGAGGTGTGAGACAGCATCATCTTTCAGTGTTCACAGGCAGTAGGAAGGAGCCAGGAAAGACATGGGAGGGAGGCAGAGACAGGGACATATGATGCCCTGAAGCCACATAATAATATGCTGCTGGTGTGAAGCATATTATTCTGTGTATTTGCATATTTTAATTCAAAAAGAAATAGCAGAATTAGGTGAAAACAAATAAGAAAGGCATTTACTGTTTCTAGAAGAATCTATAGATTTGGGGGTGGGAGAGTCCTCCATTTAGAGGTTGAGAAGACAGTGGAATATCTAATCTTACAGCTCGTCCTTCACAGGTATTAGAATATACAGATTCAGCAAGCACATACTCCTCATCTGCTACCCTAATTAGTGTGATGATTTTGAAATTTCGTCTGCAGCCACGATCTATTGTAGCTGGAGAGTTTCTCTCCAGCTCCCGCCAATTCTCGCCAGTCCCAGAGCCCACTTATAAAATAAACACACAGACTCTTACATTATTTAAACTGCTTGGCCATTAGCTCAGGCCTATCATTGTGTAGCTCTTACTCTTATATTTAGCCCATTTCTATTAATTTATACTTTGCCACGTGGCTCGTGGCTTATTGGTACCTTACATCTTCCTTGTCCTGGTGGCGGCTCCAGCAATCTCTCCCCCTGCCTTCCTGTTCCCTCAATTCTCCTCTCTGTTAGTCCCTCCTATACTTCCTGTCTGGCTACTGGCCAATCAGTGTTTATTTACACAGAGTGATATCCACAGCAATCTATTATGAAGAGACCCTGTTGATCATAACAGATTAATTTTTAGTTTGTGTTTATCCCAGTTAGGGTTTCTGTTGCTATGATGAAACACCATGACCAAAAGCAAGTTGGGGGTAAAAGGGTTTATTTGGCTTACCTGTCCAAGTCACTGTTCATTATTGCAGGAAGTCAGGACAGGAACCCAAGCAGGGCAGGAACCTGGAGGCAGGAGCTAAAGCAGAGGCCAAGGAGGGGTGTTGTTTACTGGTTTGCTCACCATGGCTTGCTCAGTCTGCTTTCTTACAGAACCCAGGACCACCAGCCCAGGGTTGGCGTCACCCACAATGGGCTGCACCCTCTTCTGTCAATCACTAATTCAGAATATATGCTACAGACTTACCGACAGCCCAGTGTTATGAAGACATTTTCTCAATGGCTTCACAGTGTTTTACGTGTCCATTTTGAGCCACTGTGAATACCACTCTTTGTGGTACCTCTACGCGGTGCCTCTCTGGGGTGCAGTGTAGGACTGTGCCTGGCTGTGGCACAGCTCTCCCCCTATCCTCCCTTTCATCCTGGATCTCCTGGAACATCATCGCACCCTAGTGACAGGCCCTTGCCTCTCTTTCTGCTTGCAGAACAATCAACCATGACGACCGAATCGGGATCAGACTCAGAATCCAAGCCAGACCAGGAGGCTGAGCCTCAGGAGGCAGCAGGGCCTCAGGGACAGGCAGGGGCACAGCCCGGACCTGAGCCTCCCAGTGGAAGCAGCGAGGAGCCGCCAGCACTTGAGCAGTTTCCTGCAGCTGCTGCACACAGCACCCCGGTGAAGAGGGAGGTGAGCCTGGAGCATCTCTGGGGAGGGTCAGTCGGGGGACCTGGCTGAGCAGTGCTGCTTCATCTCAGCCCGAAGGGCAACTATCAAGGTCACCTGCTTTTGCCCTCTCACCCCAGGGGTTAATGGTGTTGCTGTTGAAGGCTTTCAGTGAGTGACATTCCTCAGCCTGGAGTGGTACATCCTGCCTTTGATTAAAACGGTTAACACTCAGCTGAACTCCAGACTGGAAATTCTCCCTAGATCTGAGTTTACCGGGATGGGCAGGTAGTAAGCTGGCAGCTGTAGTTATGCCTCTAACTCTTTTTATTTCAAGCTGTAACACGTGAAGGCAGAATTAATTTTCCCAGCTCTTGCTCTGACCCAAACATTGCCATCTACTTTTAGTGACTGTTTATTTGGATAGGACTCTCTCTCCGTCAGATACATTTGTAAGTTCATTGCTGTTCCTTAAGCATGTTGGCGATGTCAGGAGCAATTACCTCTGCCCTTTGTGAGATGGAGCTCAGTGGTGGGGTGCACACCTAGCCTGTGGAAGTTTGGTTCCATCCCCACTACGATCAAAATGAAGAAACATCAATAAGTCAGTATAACTATGTAAATAAAATCAAAAGAATAAAGTATGATGGTGACTAGGATGAATCAGTATAGTCTTGAAACTTCAAAAAACCCTGCATATTTTAGAGTGCTAAATTGTGCATGGTAAAGGAATCAAGTGACTGACTTCTTCATGTTCTGAAGGGTTTGCGTAGTTAGAAATTTTAGAAGATGTTTAGTGAATGGTCATAAAGTTAGCCTGTGAGTGAAAGACTCCAGAACCCACAGCATTACAACATGTTGCTATGACATTGTGAACTCTTGTTTATGAGGCAGAGTATTTTACTGTGGTCACATGGCATTTGCAAGTTCTGTTTTTTAGCTAGCATGAATGGGACTGGACAGATGGCCCGGCAATTAAGAGCACTGGCTGCTCTTGCAGAAGGTCTGGGTTCAGTTCCCAGAATATGTACCATTGCTCACAACCTCCAGAACTTAAGTTCCAGGAGATTATAATTTCTTTTCTGACCTGCAGGTACCAGGTAGTGCACATACATACATGCAGGCAAAGCACTCACACACATAAAACAAAATAAATAAATCTTTAAAAAATGAAGGAAAGGCCGGGCGGTGGTGGCGCACGCCTTTAATCCCAGCACTTGGGAGGCAGAGGCAGGCGGATCTCTGTGAGTTCGAGGCCAGCCTG